AGACAGAAAGACAGACGGAGGGACAGAGGGAAAGATTGGAGGAAGAGCCTCAGAAAGCCGGAGCCTCCCCTGCCTCCTCCCTCCGTCCCCGCCGGCATCCTCCCCCAATCAATTTCTCTCCCAGACATTCTTAATTCTCCCTTCCCAACATCTCGTCTCTTTCTTTAATTGAGAAGATTTATGCTTCAGAGTCCAAGCCCGCTGCGCTTGTTTGGGGGGTGGCAGGGACGACTCCGGGGTCTCTATTGGAGCTCCTGTCCCCCACTCCCTCCCCCTCCTGTCTGTCTCGCTCTGTCTGCACCTCTCTCTCCCCGCACCCCCGTCTGTCTCTGTCTCTCTCTCTCTCTGTTTGCCTTTCTCTGAATCACACCCGTCATTGGAATTACCTCCCTCCCCACCCCAGTTAAGCCCCGTCGCCATCCCAGGTGCCCGTTCCCTCCCTTCCTGCTCTGTCCACGCCCCCGCACCACTGGCCGTCAGATGAGGCCGCACCTGCTCCTCTAGGTTTCAGAATCAGCCTGGGCTAAGGGGACCTTAGCATGCACCCCCACCACAAAAGCAAATAGAGGCAGGGACTCACTCCTAACCCTTGCATCCCTCACCCCAAGTCTTGGCTGAGGGCGAGGTGGGGGTGGGGCAGACCAAACAGCTTTGTGTCTTTAATTAAAAAGTGATTTAAATTAATTTTCTGCTCCAAAACCCCTATCTGGGGTGCGCCGGCCTTGATGAAGGGAAAGGCCTCCAGACCCCTTCCCCTCCGACTGCCTTAAAGGGCCAGCCTCAAAACAGGACAGTCACGGGGGGGCACAGCCCGCCGGCATGGGGACCCCCAGACTCAGCTAAGACCCTGACTCCTGGCACCCTCTAGCTTAACTGTTTCTCCATTATCCACAATCCCCCGCCCCCAGCGCGCATTGCCCATCCTGCCGAGGGGGGATCGAGGCTCAGAGAGGGGAGAGTCTACCGTAGGACCAGACTCCAGATTCCCAGGTGACCCCTGGAGATGGCCAGGGAGGGGGTCCGTGGTGTGTCCAGGGGGCTCGGAGAACAGAGAGCCGGAGAGAGAAAGGACGGGAGAAGGGGAGAGAGACAAGGAGACAGAGACTGGGAGAGAGGGAGACTGAGCAGGAACCCCAGCCCTGGGTAGGAGAGGAGGGACCTGGGGTCACCAGGGCCGCAGTCTCTTCCTCTCCTCCCTCCACAGCCTGCCCCTTCCCCACTCCCACCGGGAAGTCCTGCTGCTGCCCTAACCCCAATCCCTCATGCTGTAGCTCTGTACGGCTCACCCTGGCTCACCCCCTATCCCGCTCCTTGATGGTTCTGTTTAATTTCCATAAGACAGGAGGGCAGAGAAGCAGGTGGCAGCAGAGGTAGCGCTGTTGATGACAGTCTTGAACTATGTCCTTGGAGGGCTGCCTCCAGCCCTCTCTCAAGGTCTCTATTTCCTTCTGTCTCTGGGTCTCTATCCCTCTCTCTCTGGGTCTGTCCCCCTCTCTCTAGGTCTGTCCCCCTCTATCTCTACATCTCTGTACCCCCACCCCCATCAGGGTCCTTGTCCTCCGCTCCCCGCATCCCTGTCCCCTTCTCTCTGGATCTCTGTCCCATTCTTTGGCGCTATTCCTCTGGGGTGACTTTCAGGATTTTGTGGGGGGTCAAGTGTCCTTCTGTGAGAATGGGATAAAAACTATGGGCCACTTCCCTGGGGGAAAAACACAGAGGCACCCAGTCCACAATTTCCCAGGGAACTTTCCCCTGGGTTCACAGGTCTCCTGACAGCCACCTGCACATCCCCGCGGGAAGCTGAAGACACCAGGGACTAAAGACCCCCAATGTAAAAGATGCCACGGGGAGAATGAATCCAGGGGTCGCCACCAGCCCCCTCGCCCCCTCCCTCAATACCCTCTTAGATGTTTCCTGGACACACCAAGCACCTTCTGCTCCCCCGACTTTTCCAGGCTTTGCACCTGCAATTCCCCCTGCCCAGAATGCTCTCCCCAGGTGTGTGCACAGCTCAGATGTCCCCTCCTCTGAGGGCTGTCCCTGTCCAGCCTACAGAAGCCGCCCTCCCCACACCATTCTTACACAGCTTAGTTTGGGAGCACTGGCCATCTCCAGGCACTAGTTAGTATTTATGCATCCATTTACTCGACTACCCTCCCTTCCTACCCATCCCCAGGGAAAAGTGAGTGCCATAAGACCAAGAAGTTTGCCTTTTGTTCCCTGCTATGTCCCCAGAACGCCACCTGGCAAGTAGTAGGTGCTCAAGAAGTTGCTGCTGCATGAATCTTTTTCTTGATCTCAGAACCTCGGGTTGAAAGCTCGCCTTAGGAATCCGATGAAAGCCGCGGACTTGCCCTCCAACACCTTGTGTGGGGGCCCAGGGTTTACCCCACAGACTGGAGGTTCCAGGGACTCCCTGAGAGTAGCTGAGGGGGCTGCAGGCTCAAGACAGGGGCCCAAGACGGCAGAGGGGCCTCCAGTACCCACCACATCCAGAGACAGAAACATGCATAGTCACTCCTACACACCACACACATAAAACACACACACCACACACCCCACACACAAAAAACACCACACACCACATGCACACCACACAGGTACGCACATACACCCCACACACCACACATACAAAACACCATATACCACACAGGTACGCACACACACCACACACACCACACACACAAAACACC